TTTATCTTTGTCTTAATTAAACATGTCATATCCATATACAAGAGATACCAAAACTGTCCTTATGAAGCTCTCTAGGAGCTTTTTGAATATTCAAATTAATCCTTTTGATTAATTAATATTCAGACTCTTTACTTAATTAAATCATTCTTAATTAATTAACAAAATATTTTCTAATTAATTTATTAATTTCTTAATAAATTATCGTAGTAATCTCAACTTCCTTATGTTATTTAAGTCACGTGATCAACCCAAAATGACACTGCTATTATTAGATATATTAACAAAACAGTTAATGACATTGGACACTATTTCTAACTGTTACAACTTAAGATGTCTCCAAGAAAACCCACACCCGACTATTTCTTCTATATTTCTTCATTATGATCATGTTAACGAGATTTCGTAGGACCGAAAACCGGACCGGTATATAAGAAACGGTCCCGGGTAAAGTGGGTCTAGAACCGGAAACCAGGAAACATCAAAATGGGTCGGATGGAGCCGGATAAAGTGGGTCTAGAACCGGAAAACCCGAGAAAACTGAAATATTTTGGTAATTACTTAGTGGTTGAACTTTGAAAATTTTCAACTTTGATATCCCAACTTTGGGGGACCGTAAGTCATTGAATATTAAACCAAATGATGCAATTCTGCTTATCGATCAGGCACAGAAAAGGAATAAAGAAAATGGAACTGGAATCTCGTTATTTCATAATATTCTTGAAAAAAAAACCCCCTCACAAGTGCAGCGATTCTGCATTATTAATACTAGTTCCCGTTCCCAAGAAAAAGGAACTGAACAAACAACAAACACTAACTAATAGGGATTAACTTGAACAAAGAGATAAACTAACTAATAGGGATTAACTTAAACAAAGAGATAAAAAAAAGATAAACTTTGAGATTCCATCTTGGATTAGGCTAAGGCCCCTTTTAGCCACTATTATCCGGATCCTGATTTGACCCACCACCATTTGAATATCCAGACCCACCTGCATCATCCTCCCCCTCTTCGAAAGGACTCGTCCTCGAGTCCAACGAATCATCGACCTCTGGTAAAAACGGGGACAAATCAGACACGTTGAAAGTGGCCGAAACATTATAGTGTCCTGGAAGATCAATTTTATAAGCATTGTCATTGATCCTCTTTAAAACCCGGAATGGACCATCAGCTCGAGGTTTTAATTTTCCCCCACGACCAACTGGGAAGCGCTCTTTACTGAGATGCACCCACACCAAATCTCCTTCTTGAAAAACCACATGCTTCCTTTTTAAATTCGCCCGCCTCTGGTACACGATATTATTGTTTGTGATTTGCTCCTTCACCTGTCTATGGATCTCTTTGATTTGGGCTGCTCGATCAGCTCCCTCAGCACTAAAATATTCAGTAGCTGGAGATGGCGCCAAGTCCAGTGGGGTAAAGGGGTTCCTGCCATAGACAACAAGAAATGGACTCATACCGGTAGACCTATGGGTGGATCGGTTATAAGCAAATTATGCCTGGGGAAGAACCAAATCCCACTGTTTTGGGTTAGACCCCACGAGACTTCGTAAGAGATTTCCCAAACTTCGGTTCGTGACTTCCGTCTGTCCATCACTTTGGGGATGGTGGGCACTACTGAAATTAAGCCGAGAACCCAAGCGTTTCCACAATGTTCTCCAGAAATGACCCACAAATTTCACATCTCGATCGGAAGTCAACGTTTTTGGTATGCCGTGAAGTCGCACTATTTCTGCAAAATACAATCGCGCAATTTGACTAGCATCATAAGTTTTCGCACAAGGGACAAAGTGACTCATCTTCGAAAATCGATCCACAACTACCATGACTGAATCCTTCTGCCTCTGAGTGCGGGGGAGACCTACCACAAAGTCGATACTGACATCTTCCCACAGGCCATCTGACACTGGTAACGGTGTATACAAGCCGGCATTGGAACGATGGGCCTTCGTAACATGACACACCCGGCAGCGATCGACTATCCTTGTGACTGAGGTCCCCATCTTGGGCCAATAAAACCTTTCCTTGATCCATTGTAGCGTTTTGTCCCTACCGAAATGCCCCGCCAGAGCTCCTTGATGGCCTTCCAAAACAATAGCATCTCGTAACGAACACTGAGGCACACATAGTCGAATGCCCCTAAACAAGAAGCCATCATGCAACGAGTATCCATGGGTCGGACCAGTCCGACAACTTTCCCAGATGCCCGCAAAGTCTGGGTCATCAACATAAAGAGTTGAGAAACACTCAAATGCATCAACATGAACTTTAAGTGAGGTGAGCAATCCTCGTCGTCTGCTAAGAGCATCAGCCACAGTATTGGTGACCCCTGATTTGTGTTTAATGACAAAAGAGAAGTCTTGGAGTAATTCCACCCACTTAGCATGGCGCGGATTAAGCTTTTGTTGTCCCTGAATAAAACGTAATGCTTGATGATCAGAGAACAGGATGAATTTTGTATGCAAAAGGTAGTGTCTCCAAAACTCTAAGCTTCTAATAATAACATAGAATTCTTTATCATAGGTACTGTATTTCACTTTTGCATCACACAGCTTCTCATTAAAGAATGCTATAGGCCGCCCTTCTTGACTCAATACGCCCCCAATCCCAAAACCAGAAGCATCACACTCGACTTGGAACGTTTTCTGGAAGTCGGGTAAAGCTAGAACGGGAGCGCTGGTGATACTTTGCTTCAGCTCCTGAAAGGCGGTTGTGGCTGCGGGAGTCCACTGGAAGATTTTTCCTTTTAGGCACTCAGTTATGGGGGCTGCAATAGTGCTGAAATTACGGATAAACCGACGACAGAATGATGCTAACCCAAGGAAGCTCTTGACTTCATGGACTGTGGCGGGTATGGGCCAAGACACAACAGCAGCTATTTTCGAGTCATCCATCCTTATACCCCCTCCTGAGATGAGATATCCCAGGAATAAGACTTCGGGCGCCAAGAAACAACACTTCCCTTCATTGGCATATAATTTTTGTTCTCTCAAAATACTGAATACTTGTTTGAGGTGGTCCAGATGTTGCTGTACGTTTTGATTATATACCAGGATATCGTCAAAATAGATAACCACACAACACCCAATGAGGGGTTTAAAGATGTGGTTCATAAGCCTCATAAACGTACTTGGTGCATTTTACAGACCAAAAGGCATGACCATCCATTCGTAGAGACCATCCCGTGTTTTAAATGTCGTTTTCCACTCGTCTCCGGGCCTCATTCTGATTTGGTTGTAGCCACTACGCAAGTCGATCTTAGTAAAAATGGTTGCGCCATGTAACTGATCGAGAAGATCATCAAGACGAGGGATTGGGAACCGGTATTTGATAGTGATCTTGTTCACAGCACGACTATCGATACACATTCGATACGTCCCATTTGCTTTAGGAACAAGGAGAGTGGGTACGGCGCACAGGCTCATACTTTCCCTAATTAGGCCCTTGTCCAGCAATTCAGTAACTTGCCTTTGAAGTTCTTTGTACTCGGTGGGGTTCATTCGGTACGCAGGTTTTTTCGGGATACTTGCACCGGGTACAAAGTCAATACAATGCTAGATTTCGTGTGCCAACGGAAGACCCTCTGGAATCTCTGCGGGTAACACATCTTGAAATTCAGTGAGAAGGGGTAAAACTTCTGGTGGTTTTGTTGCTGGGGACGTGTTGGGTTCAACCATCAGCAGAGCAAACATGATGTCGGGTTTAGTGTCCCGTGTAAAATCCATAAAGGCTGATCTAGTGAGAATCAAAGCCTCTGTTTCCGACCCGCGCATATCAAGGGGAACTAATTGTATCTTAATACCTTCCTTCTTGAAGGTATGTGTGTTCAGGTACCCATCATGTATCACCCTCCGATCAAATTTCCATGGGCGACCCAACAACATATGGCAAGCATCCATGGGGATAACCTCACACCATACTTCATCCGCATATCTCGTCCCAATACTGAACTGCACCAGACATTTGTGCTTCACCTTCACAACATTCCCTCTTTTCAGCCACGTTGGCTGATAAGGATCGGGATGATCCACCACCTTGAGTCCTAATTTATCCACCATTACTTGGGCAACCATATCTTCACAGCTTCCTCCATCAATAATGACTGTGCAGACCTTACCATTCACGGTGCACCTGGTACGAAAGATATTATTCTGGAGCCACCTATTGTCGTCGACGGGAGGTGATGGGGACGGATCGGGGGTTGCGCTCAAAGCCCACTGTGCAAGGAGGGACTCGCCCTTGTCGGGGTAAATAATTTCAGCGTCGCCGTCTTCCTATTCGCCGGCATCGGAATCGTAGACTGGAGCTGGGGGTGGATCCTCGGCGAGAGTGACGAGATGGGTATTGGGGCAATCGCGAGCAAAGTGCCCTAATCCGGAGCATTTGAAACAACGTGGAGGATTTCGGTTTGGGGCGGCGGTTGTAGTGCGAGAGCTATTGTCGGTTCGTGTAAAATGGGCTCGGGTAGCTTGGGCTCCTCCTGTGAGAGGTCTTGTGGGCTCAGTTCTCTGAAAAGTGGGCCTAGCCACCGTCGTTTTGGCTTTGGACTTTAGTTGCCTCTCAACTTTGGGAGCTAATTGACACACTTCGTTGAAAGTGCAGTAAGGTTGCAACTGTACGACGTCGGTGATTTCGGGTCTTAACGCTCCAAAAAACCTAGTGATGATTTGTTCTTCTTCCTCTTCTACCCCACACCGAATTCGTCACCTATCAAATTCGCTTATGATTTCTTCCACTGTTGACGATTCCTGCGTGATGTTGTGATAATCCAAAAATGCTTCCTGGCGAAAATTGGGTGGCTAGAACCTTTCCCGCAAAAGTTTTTTCATTTTCAGCCACGTCGTGACCTTCGATTTGCCTTCCCGACGTCGTTTGGTTTTTACAGTCTCCCACCACATCGAAGCATATTTACGAAGCTTCAGGGCCACGAATTTTACCTTATAGTTCTCCGAGATGTCCCGCAACTCGAATACACGCTCTATTGTTTGGAGCCAGTTAAGGAATGCGTCGGGATCAGACCTGCCATCGAACTCAGGTACGTCGATTTTGATTCCCAAATGCCGTAACGGATCGGATCTCTGTTCTCTCCGTTCGACCGGGTTTCCTTCTGTCGCAAAAGGGTTGTACGCTGGGTCCCCATCATCCCAGATGCGAGGGTCAGTGTTCGTCCCTTCCTCTGATCGTTCTTCTTGTTGCACCTCGAGGTCCCAGACCCGTTGTCGCAACCTTGCTATTTCTTCCACATCTCGTGGGTCACGATGGTGGTCCTCGTTGCCTCTACCGGCGAATCGACGTGGATTCCTCTGCCCTCGTTCACCCCGATCTTCCATATTCGAATCTTCCTTGAGCTCTGATACCAAACTGATGCAATTCTGCTTATCGATCAGGCACAGAAAAGGAATAAAGAAAATGGAACTGGAATCTCGTTATTTCATAATATTCTTGAAAAAAAAACCCCCCCCTCACAAGTGCAGCGATTCTGCATTATTAATACTAGTTCCCGTTCCCAAGAAAAAGGAACTGAACAAACAACAAACACTAACTAATAGGGATTAACTTGAACAAAGAGATAAACTAACTAATAGGGATTAACTTGAACAAATAGATAAAAAAAGATAAACTTTGAGATTCCAGCTTGGATTAGGCTAAGGCCCCTTTTAGCCACTATTATCCGGATCCTGATTTGACCCACCACCATTCGAATATCCAGACCCACCTGTATCACCAAAAATGACAAACTTATAGTCTAAAATCATGTACAAACTCTAAACTACACGTTGCAAAAAACCTCATGATAATTCGACTTCAAACGAATTAGATATGCATGTTTTAAAATTTCATAAAATACAAAAATAAAGCTGAAAAACAGAAAATTTGTAACTTTGATATCCCGATTTTGAGAGACTATAAATCAATGAATATGAAACCAAAAATGACAAATTAAAGTCTAAAATCATGTACAAACTTTATACTACACTTTGAAAAAAAGTGTATGCTATTCCGACTTCAAACGAATTAGATATTCATGTTTTAAAATTATCACAAAATACAAAAAAAAGCTGAAAAAACATAAAATTTCAAGCTTGATATCCCGACTTTGAGAGACTGTAAGTCAATGAATTTAAACCTAAAAATAACAAAATTATAGTCTAATATCATGTACAAACTATAAACTACACTCTGGAAAAACCTAATGCCAATTTGACTTCAAATGAATGAGATATGTATGTTTTAAAATTTTCACAGAAACCGGTGCCAGCCCTAAAACCGGTTCCGGTTCTTAAACCCGGTTTACCCGGATCCGAAGGACCCGAAACCCGGATTACCCGGAACCCGGATATAGCCATTCTTTGAACCCACGACCCGGACCGGTTTTACATGTTCCGGCTCTAATGGTTCCATTTCCGGTCCGATTTTCCGGTTCTAAATCTCATCCCTACCCTAATTTATAGTAGCATAAAGGTAGATTAAGAATTTCATTTTAAAAATCTGGACAAGCTGAAAGGAGACGAGAGAAGTCGTAAGATAAAATATACTCTTTTATTAAATAGATAAAATAGCTAAGATTATATCACTTCAAAAAACATACACAACATAAATTAACTAAAAAAAACATATCCTTATTTTAATGCAATTTTGCGGACCATAAAAAAATAACACAAATGCCACGACAATGATATGGCGCTGAGAACAAATACCAATTCTCATGATCCAAACAAACCATAGAAAGTTAGAAACTATCATTCATCGAAATTCTCCATTCTCTTGATTTTCACCCTTTCGTCTCTTCGCCATTTTGTCAAGCACTTCATCTGCAACAACTTTCTCCAGGTATCACCATCTTTAATCATTCCACTTTAATGGTTCTGAACAATTGAATCTTTCCTTATTCTGCTGTCGAGTATCGACACACATGCAGACACAAGCTTTACTCTTTTTCATCAAAATTGGGGTTTTTACTTCCTTACTTTTTAGCTTCCATCGAAGAAAAAATTCCAACTTTTGTGTTTATTGTTTAGTACATCGCTTTCCCCTTTCTGGATTTCGCTTTTACAGAACTCATGATTATTGAATCTGTAATGTTTGATTCTCTGATCCTAGTTAGTGTTCTCTTTAATCGATTTTTGAATTGTTTGTCATGTGATTCTTCTGTTCATACTCGTTAGGGCTTTAATTTATGTTACTTTTGCGTACGTTTCGACTGTTTGTAATTATGATTTGGAGTTACCTTTATGAGTTGTCATTATTTATCTCTGATACGATATGGTGGTTAGCTTCACATGCTGTTTGTTCAATGTCTTTTTAAGCTCTCTAATTTAAAGTTTTGCTACTTTTTTCCAGTTGAATTTCACCATTTTCGCCAGATGCCGCCGCCAACTTATTTCCCTCTCCGGTGGGAGAGCACCGGAGACCAGTGGTGGTACGCTTCCCCAATCGATTGGGCCGCCGCGAACGGCCACTACGACTTAGTCCGTGAGCTTCTCCGCCTCGACAGCAACCACCTAATCAAACTATCATCTCTCCGGCGAATCCGCCGCCTCGAGGTCGTCTGGGACGACGAAGAACAGTTCGACGACGTTGCTAAAAACCGTTCTTTTGTCGCCCAAAAACTCTTACACGAAGGCGACGCCAAAAGGGGGAAAAACTCGCTCATTGGGTCCGGTTATGGAGGGTGGCTTCTGTACACCGCCGCCTCCGCCGGTGAATTCCCGTTTGTTCAAGAATTATTGCATAAAGATCCTCTTTTGGTGTTTGGAGAAGGGGAGTATGGGGTGACTGATGTGTTATATGCTGCTGCGAGAGGTAAGAATGCGGAGGTTTTTAGGCTGATTTATGATTTTGCGATGTCTCCGAGGTTTATGGCCATGGGTAGGGATTTGGAGGGAAATATTGGGGGAATTCCGGCGGCTTATAAGGAGGAGATGAAGAATCGAGCTGTTCATGCGGTGGCTAGAGGTGGTAATTTGAATATTTTAATGGAGCTTCTTGGTGATAGTGATGATAATCAGGTTTTGAGTTATAGAGATATTCAGGGGTCGACTATCTTGCATACAGCAGCTGGAAGAGGTCAAGTTGAGGTATGAGTTTCTTTGTAAATTTGTGTATTAATTTAATACTTTTTAATAATTTTAAACACTGTACATGTTTCAATAAAACACATAATTCATATCTATTACAAATGATTTATTTACCTATAATTGTCTAATAATATAATATATAAAATTACCACAATAAATACGAGTCAAATTTTTGATGGGTATAATTAGGTAGATTTTCTTTTCGACAAAAAAATAAATTAATATACGTTGCTATTTCTTGATGAGCAGGTGGTGAAATATCTCGTCTCCACATATGAAATGGTTAACTCCACAGACAAACAAGGCAATACACCTCTCCACATAGCCGCTTCCCGTGGTCAAATATCAGTAGTTGACTTTTTAGTCAAATCCTCTCCATCTTCCATACATTCAAAAAACAATTCCGGCGAGACATTCCTCCACGCGGCGGTGACCGGATTCCAAACTCCAACATTCCGGCGACTCGACCGCCAGATTGTTCTCATGAAACAATTAGTTTCCTCAAAAGCCTTCAACATTGAAGAAATCATAAATAATACAGATAACGAAGGAAGAACCGCTCTTCATTTAGCAATCCATGGCAACATCGATGTCAATCTGGTGGAATTACTCATGACGGTTGGAATGATTAATGTCAATAAACGGGACAATCACGGATTGACACCTCTCGATCTTTTAAAACAACGGCCCGTGTCCCCGTCATCGGAATCGCTAAAACGACACCTCATTTCCGCCGGAGCAATTCTCGGGAATCATGATTACACCGCTAGGAAGATTCTCGCTTCCCATTTGAGAAAAGGAAGTGCCGGTGGTAGCCCCGGAATGGCGTTCACCGTTTCCGATTCTGAAATCTTCTTGCTTTCCGGTACTGAGAGTGTGGCCACGCCGGTGTTGACCGAACCAAGTTCGGAATCGAAGATTCCGAACATTGTCAACGTTCCAAGCAAGAAGAAACACAAAGGAATAAAGAGATTCCTTCGGTGGACGAAACCGAGAAAAACCGAAGAGAAACCGGAATTGGAATTACCGATTCCACTCCGGCAACGGTACTGTAAACCCGTGACGGTGTTGGTGTCGCCGCCGAACAACAAGCGGACGCTTGCGGCTCGGAGTAATCTTCCGAGTCCGACCGCGAAGAAGAAGCTTGCTTCGGGATTGGTGAATGGAGTTATGCAAGCGATGCCGAATGTGAACCGGAGATCACGGTCTAATTCTTTCTCGAGGTCGTCGGCATCTTCTCATGCTTCACACACCGGAATCGGATTCGGAAGCGGAAGCGGAATTGAGTTTCCGGGCGGGTCATGCTCGAATCAGATGTTTGATGATGGGATTGTGAGTAAAGAACACGGGGTTGTGAATAGGAGGTCGTCGGTGAATCAGTACTTTTGTTTTGGTGCACCAAACTTACCGATGGAAACGGGTGCTTCGGAACAAGAGAAGGAGGATGAGATTTATGATCGTTATGTTTTATCTACTGCTTAAGAGAATTACGAGGTTAAATAAAAAATGTAAAAGTCTTTAACATTATGGTTGTTTGTTAGTGGTAAATTATGTATGTTTAGCTTCGAATATGTCAAACTTTGTTTAAAGTTCAAATGTGATATTATTTATAAGGAATTTGGGCCTCGTTTGGGAGTCATGTGCTTTGGCATTTGGTTATTAGCCCAAAGTGAGGGTTTTGGGTTGGGCTGATCATATATGGAATGGACCTGACTGGGCCCAGTTCAAAGGGTTTAGGCCACTTGGCAAGCGTTTTTCTCTACAAAATACATTATAGGCCCACATTAGGGTATATTCATATGCAAATATTGCTCAACATCAGTTAGTATTTAGTTACCTAACAATCAGTTTAGCTAAATTAAACAAGAAGCACTAACCTGGTGGGAATCTAGTATCGCTAATGACAACGTTACCAAATCTTGATATTTCATATCGACTAGGTGTGAGACCCGTATATTATACGGGTTAATTTTTTTTTTAAAAAACTAAACATTAAAATGTAAACAGTAAACATTTTTTAATGTAAAACTTTAAAATAAGAAAGGAAGAAACATATTAATTGCAATTTAATTTCATATATAGTATATTTAATACCTTACATATATAAATATATAACTTTAATTTTAAAAATTGAAACAAATCAGAAATTGACAAGTGAATAATATTTATTTCAAAAATACCATAAAATGACAAATGTCAAAACTCATGATAGATTGACAAGTGGCAAAAAAAAACCTTCATTTATTAGAGAAGATTATTCTGTTATCGTTCATAGCTAATCCTTCTTAATAAATGAAGGTTTTTTTGCCACATGTCAATCTCTCATGAGTTTTGACATTTGTTATTTTGTGATATTTTTAAAATAAATAATATCTACAATTCAATTTTTTGATTTTTTTAATTTTTAAAATTAAAAACCACATAATACATATAGTTATATAAGTAAAGTATTAAATATAATAAATATGATTATAAATTGAAATAAATATGTTTTTTTCTTTCTTATTTTAAAATTTAATTTTAAAAATACTTAATGTTTATATTTTGATATTTAATTTTTTTAATTAACCCATGTAATACATGGGTCTCACACCTACTAAGGTAATATTCGCAAAATGTTCAATTGATTTTTTGTTTGAATTATATACTAGGTGTAAGACCCATGTATTACATGAGTTATTTAAAAAAAAATTAAATATAAAAGTCTAAATATTTAAGAACTTTGGATTTATAAGAAAATAAGAAAAATAATGAATTATTAAAATTGATTCTTTTATCTTTCAAATTTAAATAAATAAACAAAATAAACTAATGAACTTTAATTTGGAAATTTTGAAATAAAAAAGTAAGTTCATTAATAAAATTTATTTTCATTTATTACTATATTTATTGTAATTATTACATTAAAATATTATGTGAAATTTATTAAAATAGAAAAAACTCATAAAATGACATGTGTAAAAGAAATTAATTCAAAATAACTACAAAATAACATTTGGCAAATTGAATGAGAGTATGACATGTGGCAAAAAAGACATCCATTTGTTAGAGTACTAGTTTATAACCCGTGGGAACCACGACTATAAAATTAATTAAACTTTCATAATAAAAATTTATAATTATTAATCAGTTATTTTAAATAAATCATTTTAAATAAATTATTAATTAGGAGATATATCAAATTTTTAAAGTTGTTATAAATTTAAATTTAAAATATAATTAGAAAATATAAATTTAATTTTTGAAATGAGTTGCCTAATATATCTACATGACACATGACATAATATTAATGAGGAGTTGTATTAGAGTGTCACTTGGCAAATGGATATTAAAACTATTCATTTATTAGAATAGGGATATATATATATATATATATATATATATATATATATATATATATATATATATATCAAGGTTCTAAAAAGCTCGCCATGGCGCGCCATGACTCCAAGGCTTGTAAGTGCCGCCAAGCTTTACCAAAACGCCGTCTTGACTCATATATGTGTATAAAAATGAATAATAGTAGAAAATACATATAAAAATATGAATTATACACAAAATTGCCGCCTTTAGTCACGACTTACAAACGACGTGACTCGCCAAGGCTCGGAAAAGCTTGAGGTTTGACATTGCCGCCAAATCACGCCTTACGTTATTTAGAACCTTGATATATATATATATATATATATATATATATATATATATCTATATATATATATATATATATATATATATATATACTAGTTGTAGACCCGCGCAATGCAGCGACGACGTATAGTTTTCAAGTGGTGATCAAATTCCTTTTGGCACCTCACAACCTTTGTTCAATAAAGCATTTCACAACCCATTAAAAAAGCTTTGAATTCATTGTAATAAAAGACTCATTTGAAAATACTTTATACTAAAACACTCATTTCTATCAAGAAAATGATAACACAATTACAATCTTTTCTAGACAAATCACATTTCTCTCTTGTTTTATAAAAAGTAAAAACAAACATGCAGATCCAACCTCTAATTTGTAAAAATTTACAAAAGACAGCTACTTTTTGCCTATGTATATATAACAACAAAAAAATAAAAAAATAAGATAACACATTTGCCCTGAAGTGAATAAAACTCTAAACCTGATGTCAAACCAAGAAAAGGAACCGTAAGCATACATATATGCCATTTCAAGCAAAAGAAAAGTAGGTCAAGTAGACAATTTTTTTAAATGGCACAAAAAATTCATTTTTTCCGTTTTTGAAAAAATATAAACTAAAGTCAAAGTGCAATACTATTAACAGCCAAACAGAAAAGAACAACAAAACAGAAACATGGTCAGCTCAATTTCATCCAAACATAAAATTAGAGATATAAAAAAGGGGTAGTAGTGAGATAATGCATGCTGTCATTAAACTTGTGGGATGATCTATCTGTCTCATCTCCATTGTACCTCCCTTTTAAAGGACCATATAATGACTTTATTCTCAGAGTTGACTGTTACCAAAAAAATCTGAATCTTGCAACCTATGACATTCAAAATTATCCTCATTCTTAACCAATTAAAGAATGATCAACCATTGTTGGTATAAATGCAGGTGATGCTATAGCTTGCCGGCCATTGTTAGCACCGACTAATGGAGCTAAAAAAAGTAAAAATCAACAAAAAAAAGTTATAACTGTAAAAATGTCAATTTTGACAAAAGAAAAAGGGGTATGCTATGCTGAAAAAAATAGATATTTGTAGAAAAAAACACCATATCATTGCTCATCCATTCCAAGGGCATTATCTTTGTAATCAGCTATTACAACCATTTCGTTGTCTTCTCTCTTCACCTCCTCTGGTTCTCTGTAACAGAAAAAATAGTAAATTCTATGATTTTTTATTTTTGGGCAAATTGCAATAGATATTAATAAACTGTCTATTTAACCAATATCAGCACAAATTCAATAAATAAATACTTTCTAACTTGTATACAACACAAATTTAATAATAAATAACATAACAAGTATATAAAAACTCTTAAAAGATAGTTTACCAGGTAATGACCAAGATGCTATTTCATATTATATACCATTAACTATTCATCTATTTCCCAATTAAATTTAACATTATGCTTGTAAAGTAATTCTGATGATACTCAAACTAAAACATTAATGAACCCAGCTAAATATAAAATATTAAGCAAATAATGCCCACATTTGACTAAATAGAAAATAAAGTAATAAAGATAATGCCCACATTTAACTAAATAGAAGAACATCCTACTGTGTTTTGAAACAAGAATCAAGTTAAATACATTCTTGAATTTTTTTCATGTGTCTGTAATCATCTAGTACACACAAAAATAAGTGAACCTTTAACCAAAACCCAACAAACTGCCAATTACCGTTGACCTGAAAACAAAAACATATGGAAATGACAGCAAAAAGGAATAGATTATTATGTAACATTCATCTCTACAAACTAAGATGTGAATATGAAAATTTATCTTTTTCATTTTACATGTAAATGTGAAATGTTAGCAAACAAGAATGTTGTTCTTCCTTAGCTTCCACTTTCTCCTATTTGACATTAATAGTTTTCAGTTCACCTATTAATATGAAAATTTATCTCTGTAATCTTATTTTCAAGAAATATTTATGAAAATACAAGTTGAACTAACCATTAAAGAACCACCAGGTCATAGCCATCAGCTCTTGTTGAATCGCAAAACATAATTAGCAGGAAGTAGAACCCAAAAATCTATTTAGATACCAATGCTTACAAAAACCAAAGTTTAGCACACACAATTGTAGAAATAGTGGTTAGTATATTGGAACCAGGTGTGTGTGTGCGCGTTAGATCTAGATAAGCCATTTGCATACCCGTAAATTCAGTGATCTAAGTTCCTCAACAACAGAAAAATGACAAATATTACATAAAGAACCGGATGGGTGGGTGAGTTAAGATTTAGGTGTGTAGGTGTGTACATCGACATGGGTTATTGTTCCTTCAAATTAGGAATCAATATAAGCACATCCACATGGGTATTATTCCTTCAAATCAGGAATCAATACAAGCACATCCACATGGGTATTCAACCAACGACAATCTTGAGTAGGATTCCTGAAACATGAACACAAATGGAACCCAAGTTTTTTCGATTAAGAAGAGACCTAAAGTAAGAAATAAAATAAAAAACCTATCTGGAAACCGAATAAAAGACCTTTTTCGTGATAGATAAACTATGGTAAAGGTTTGTATATTTTACCATTTCACTTTCCGAGTGCTGAACGTATGATATCACCGAGGATCAGAATCTACGACGATATGGGTTTCTTATCACCAAAAGCCCTTTTTGTTTATGACAATATGGATTTTCTTCAACCCTTGTGTCTGGGTCACGAAGATTTGTGTGTGTCTAGGTCGTGAAGATATGTTTATGTTTATGTGGTTCATATGTATAGAAAGGGGGATGGGTTTACAGGGAATGGGGTTTAGGAGGGACCAATCTTTATCGAGATCTAGAGACAAAAGGTGGAGATGGCAGTGGAGAGGGCGTTGAGAGGAGGAGGTCGTAGATTTCATCAAGGTTCTTTGGAGAGATAGATGGAGAATTTGATTCGTTCTAAGCGACTTTTTTGTTTCT